TCCTCCTCGGCCGCCGCCGCCGCCGCCGCCGAGCCGCGCTTCTTGGCTGAGCCGCCCGACATGACCCCGCCGGAGGACGCGCCACGCGCTCGGCCCGGACCCCGCGCCCTCGCCTTTTATCTGCCGGCGCCGGCCGGGACCCGCCCCGGCACGTGAGAAAGGCGCGCCCGCCCAGCCGCCGCCGCCGCCGCCGCAGCAGAAGCGCGCCCCGGCTGGCCCGGAGGAGGAGGAGGAGGAGGAGGGGGGGGGAACAGGGGGAGGAGGAGGGGGGGAGAGGGAGGAGCAGGAGGAGGAGGAAGAAGAAGAAGGCGACGAGAGCGCGCCCAGCGTCCCCGCGCGCCAGGGCCGGCAACCTCCCCGGGACGGGCGCCCTCCTCGCCCCGGGCGCGCTCGCCTTGGCTTGCCTTCCCTTGGGACCCTCGAAGCCCCAGGCCGACGCTGCCCCGGAGCCCCCCCTTCCCGAATCGACGTTGCCGGGGACCCGGCGAAATTAGGGGAGGGGGTCGTTTTCGTAACCAATCCGATCGGAGTAAATCCCGGAGTTTGGACCTGGCCAGTCAGAAGCGGATCAACCCGCCGCGTTTGAACCTCCGACCGAGGATCTAAGTCAAGTCCGTAAATCACCATCGTCCTTTTTATTTCTAAAACTGTGGAAGAGAGGAGAGATTCTTCTCTGCCGAAACACAAAAATATTGATAGACACGCGAAACATAATTTTTAAAACTGCTTTGAATATATTTGTTTTAAGAATAGTTTTAAAATTTATTGATTCATAATTTTCAAAGATGTTATTCTTAGGGAGGGAAGGAGGGAGGGTCCAGAACGGCCAAAGTGCTTAAGCCCCTCAAAAGTCATAAGGCAGATGAAATTGTGATAGCTGGAGTTTGCAGCACCTCTTCCTGCCTATCAGAAGGGGGCCCATTTCCGTCCCTGCCAAAGTGGAAAGGGAGATTTAAAAGCAGTTCCCATCAGTGGCTCCCCAGGGGTGTCTAATCTAATAAAGAGAAGAACTAAGACCAACAGGACAGCAGTCTTCCAATATTTGAGGGGTTCCTACAAATACAACGGGGGTCAAACTGTTCTCCAAAAGGCACCCAACGGATAGAAACTAATTAAGGAGAGAACCAGTCTAGAACTAAGGAGGAATTTCTGACAGAATAATTAATCAGCAGAACAACTTGCCTCCAGAAGTTGTGGGTGCTTCATCACTGGAGGTTTTCAAGAAGAGACTGGACAGCCACTTGTCTGAAATGGGATAGGGTTTCCTGCCTGAGCAGGGGGTTGGACTAGATGACCTTCAATAATTCTGTTATTCTACGTGATGAATAAAATTGGTTCTTGCATCTATTTTAGACCGGTGCAAAATTTCCCAATTTGGCAGCCAACAAAACCTAGACCTTAAAAACCCAGAAATAAAATTTTGTCTTGTCTCCCCCGATGTCTTTTTAGACCAGGCCCAATCTATTGTAGGCAAATTATATTGTTGTATGTTCATACATCCAAATAAATAATCGAGTGGGAATCAAAAATATGGATACATTCAGCTTGTTACGCCAAGGGCACCTTTTTGTTTGTAACTTGACATCCTTTGAAAAGGGGCCTGGTAGGTGACAGGTCTAGAAAAGAGGAAAGCTTTGTGTTTGAAAAGAGAGATAATTGCAGTCCATTTCATTGGCTCGCCTTTATTGAAAGAGGCATCCTTGGTAATAGTTTTCACTAATGCTATCATTCAGTCTATAATAAATATTTCCTTCACGGTGTGCTGCAAATAGAATTGTAGGCTATCCGTGCTTTTTCCTCCATGAATTAGCAAAAGTGATTAATATCTTAATGACCAACTGGGCTGTTTGGTTTTCGCAGCAGTCTCACCTGCTTGTTCCCAGTGCTGCTGGCTCATCAGCTACAGAGAAAATATATTTGCTTTAAGTACCAGATGTTAGCCTAGCAGCAGATCTACAGATCTTGCATTTACCAGCTAAAGACTTCATGCAAATTACAATGTTAAAAGCTCTCCACAAATAACATGGGTCTTGAAATCCTGCAATAGTTAACTGATCATTTTACCATGTAATTGATGAGGCATCTGCATTACCAACCTATCCAGCTCATCCTAATTTATTTATTAAATTTATATGCCGCCCGTCTCACTGTTGAGCAACTCTGAGACCTTCCAGCAATCCACCCTTTTGATGAAATGAGCCTTTTTAACAAAATTGTTTTAGCTGGAAAAAGGTGCCAGCCCATCCCTACCTTTTTTTTAACCAACACAGACTCCTCCATCTCTCCTTCTACAAAGTAAACAAACATGCAAGTGCATAATTTTAACTTCGTGGAGCTGACATGGCCCAAACTGGCCTTGACAGGGGCAGGTGGGAAAACAACAACCTAGCAGGCAGAGATCACATAACCTGAAAATAAAAGGAGATGTTGCTTGCCTGAAATAAACTTTGGGATATATTGGCTGTTTTTGATTTTTGTCCTTGTCGGATTCTGCCCTCTAGCGGCCCTCGCCTCAAATTTCCATGTTTGCAAAATATCTGTAAACAAAACATGTTCCTTGACAATAAGATACGCTCTGTGCACACCAACTGCACAAACCTTTCTTTGCCCACATAGCCAGCAACATTAATCCCGGAAATGGAGATTAGCGTTGCTCCCTGTTGAACTATCATGGCTTGCCCTGTCCGTCTTGGTGGGTTGTGGTTTTCTGCTGAGCAGTTCCTTGATGAAGGATTTGTTTTCTGCTTAATTGATGGATTGCTTGATTGTTGTCTTCTACTGGAACATGATACCTGCTTGCCAAGGCTTTTCGCGGATTCTCATTGCAAGTTGGTGGCCAAGCCAGCTTCTGTTCCTCCTTCCCACCTGGATCCTTCATGCCCACTTTGCCAAGAGCACGGGGCAGTCTTTTGGATCTTTGGAGTGTGTAAAAAATCTGTTCCGAGTCCTTTCCCCGTTATTACCCTGCATTCAGCCACAAAACCTTTTAAGGGGATTTGATTATGAAGACCGGCTCCTTGTGATAAAGCCCAGGCGAGGGCAGGATTGCCACATCAAAGGGACTTAGCCCAAGGTCAAGAGATAAGACAGAAGTCACTTCCCACACAACCTCGGGGAAAACAACATATGCTTCTTCTAAAAGCAAGCTAGTCCTTAGCCCCATGGCATTTGGGGCGGGTCAACCAGAAGGGCTCCTCTACCATAGTTTAGCCTTCTCTTTGGTCCTCAGCCCATCTGGACAGATTTTGGTTTAGACATCTTTCAAAGCACAATTTTTGCAGGACAGTAGAGATGTGATCCTCCTTTTCTCCTGCACATCTCTGCCAAACATAGTTAAGGAAACCTGGTTATGCATTCCCCAAGAAAACACCCCACAGGCATTCAATTAGAATTTGAAAATCCAAGAACTGTCTTATGAGGGCAAAAAAGCTAGACAATCCTGGTTGTGTTCATTTTTCTGCCTCTGTAGTGAACAGGAGAAGCTCATAATGTTGCTTTGGGCCATTATCACCCTTTAGCTTCCTGAAGTCAAGATATTTTGCTGCAAATGAAGTGTCACATGCCAGCCGTGTCCAACAGACCCCCATCCCCCCCCCGATCTCCCCTTAGGAGGCCTCTCTCGTTTTTGAAAACTGTCAATTTGCAGAATTTAGTTACTCTGCAGATGATTTTGCTGGGCTCTCTTCACAGGTTGTCTGGAAAGAACAGGCAAACACAACAGCCTTCAAAACACAGCACGTGTGTGTTTAGAGGACACATTTCCTGCACTCCGAGACCATAATGAACCGTCACATTATTCCTTAACAAGTGTTGCAGTCAAAACAGTAGGGTATTGTTTTTCCATTTCAATGCGTTTTAGGAGAAAATTTTTATCTAGTTGTTGTCACTTCCCACACAATGAAACAATTCATTCCCCCTCCTTTCTCTTTCCCAGGGCAAATACAGCTGAAATAACTTCTGGACAACAGAGAGAGAGGACTTCATATTTATTATAAAGATGCCTAACAGCTTAAACTTCCTTTCTGCACCGTTTTCATAAACGCTGAATTGATTCATCAATCTCTCAGCCTGCCTATAATGATTCTTTTACACGTAGAGGAAAAAGGACTTAGGAGATATAAAACTCTGATATGAAAAACGGAAAGGCCAAGAAAGTCCACGCTGCCGTAAGTCTACTTTTTAAAGTACTGTTGATTTGTTTCTGCTTCGATGCACACAAGTTAAGATTGTTCACACACAAGTCCTCTGATGCGGCTGACCAAGGCTTCGGTTTTGAATGCCCCTGATCAGTTATGGCACTGACTGTGTGCTCACCAATCCCAACTGAAGATTTAGCAAGCTGCGATAGTGGATTGATTGTCTTCCACATGATTAGGCACTGTGCGGGCTCTAGTTTTTTGTTTTGTTTTAAGCTATTGAAGTGCTACAGAATGAAAAATATGCATATTTACATCTGGCAGGCTTTATGCATCAGTAAGTACACATATTTAGGACAGGAAATGGATCCTATCATGTTTCCTTGTAACGTATTTGGTGCCTATGTTAGGTATTTCCTTCTAAGCGAGCCTGGTTGTTCCATAGCCCGAAATCCATTCAAATCTGCTGCTTTATGCAGAAAAAGTTTTCCTCTTGTTTCCTAGATCACAAATAACCACAGCCTCTTGTATGTACAGAGACAGGAAAATTGCTGGGGGAAGAGAGGAGCTGCTATAAAGTTAGACCACCCTTTAGAGGTAAATAAGGATTAGGTCATCTGCAAAAGGTTTCTGCAACAGGATGTCCTTCAGGTGCGTTAATACTATAATTCCCAGAACAATTGGCAATTCAGATTGTTATAATCCTGGCATCTGGGTCAAACTAGCTTGAAACCCAAAACCAATGCCTGCCCTTGCCAAATTGTATAAATTTCTTCTCTCGGTGAACAATCCTGCTTTGCAGATTGCCTGGTTCCTTAGGGGTCCTCCGAGAGGCCTTGCCCAACTGTGCAGCTCCTGCAATGGAGCATCTGCTGATGGAGAAACACCTGGGCAGTAGAGGTGAGGCTTGGAGTCCTAACTGGTGCTTTGAACTGTTACTGGGAGAAGACTGGAGTCCAAGCGGTTCTCACGCTAAAAGAGCAGTCTTCTGGAAGAGCAAAGGACCGGAAATCTCTCGGCCCCAGCTTTATGCTAAACTACTTTTCAGGCAACAGGTAACATTTAGCTGCTTAAAGCTGCAGACTGTCGCGAAGGGGCACTTGCTGGGGGGCATGGAACATCTGGTCCTCCTTTTCCATGTCCTGCCAGAAGTGCTTTGAAAAGGATGAACGGACTGTTCGATCCATGATGGGCTGTAGTGGACGGAAGTTGTCCACCATCCTCTTCTCGTCTTCTCCAGCCGGAGTAAAGAGCAGCATCCGAAAGACCTCGAGCTGGGGAGGAGAAAGGGAGAGCAAGAAGATGGGGTTCTCTTAGGTTCTCTTTCTCTGGAGCCTGCAGCTCTGAAGAGCTCCTGGAAATACTGGCCAACAGGTACCTTCAAATTCAACCAAAGCTTTTGTGGCAGGTGACAAGTCTGGGGGACATAATGGGACTTTCTGCATTTTTACCCTGCCCATGAGTTCTACTCTAGAGTCAACTACTCCCAACTCAAGAGCCAGGTAACTGCAATATTTAAGCTAGCCGATGCCAATCTAGATATGCCAGAGTAGAATGCCGGTCACCACCAGCCAGGTTGGTGGACATCCAGCTGTGTGATTTTCTCTTTATCCTGCTGATCCCAAACCAGCTCAATCCTTTATCCTCCATTTATCCACATAAAGAACTGTAGTTAAAAGTGGGAAAACTGACTCAGCAGGAACTTGTTCTACCACACCTACAGATCAACTTTCAGCTCATCTTCTGTTTCAGCCTGGCTACTTTGCCATCTCTTTCACAGGAGACTCCTGGATGAAGCCATGATATCGTTTGTTTGGCCATGGCTTGGCATGATGTACAAAACCAACTATTGTTTATGACTCGCCCTTATACACAGATCAAACTACTAGTGTTTACTCCATAAATTATGGCTGAAACAAACCATAGCTGAGTGAAAAATGTGAAGCCTCTCCATATATTACTGCCTAAGCAAGATTTTGGATGGTGTTACTCCTCCCACTTTCTCAAATCTGATAACACAAGTCTGATTCCCCTTTGACAGACCTGGTCTTCATCGACCTCAATTGCTTTCTTCTTGATGATCCAGGTGACCGACTCCGAAAGTGGAGGGGTGGTCAGAGATCCTGAATAAGTCCAATAATCTGGGCATGAAGGCAACAAGCAGGAAGGATCAAACTCCTCAAGTTCAACCAGAGAATCCTAAGAAATCCCATCAACAGCAAATGGTTAGTTTGGGACACCTGTTTGCAAATACATTTGTGGATTTTTGAAACATAGATTTTAAAAAAACCCTTGTGTGCCCACCCAGCATTGTACTTGAATCTTCCTTCTTCCACTTTTGGGAAGCAAGGATTTAAAGATGACCCTCTGCTTCCTTGGAGTAGACAGGGCATTCCAGGCAAGTAGGAAAGAGCCCAGCCTTCATCGTACCTTGTACTTAATGGAGGGCAAGGCATCTACTAATTTCTGCAGACCGTTATGAGTGGCTCCAAGCTGTCAAAGCAAAGATAAGGTTTGGATTCAGATCTAAAGGTTTTGCACCAATAACATTTTACTCCTTGATAATCTTTAGGACAACGGGTTTCTGATCTCCTGATCCCACCCATTTCCCCACAAACAGCTTCTCCGAAAGACCCCCCCCAAGAAAAAACCCTAAATAAAGTCACTGGCTCTCTGTAGAGAAATTTCTTATCTGTTGCTTGAAGGAGCTGGTCTTCTCCTCCCATTTCCTTCCCACAGGTCTGTTTTGTCTCTATTTACACCTTCCTTCCTGTGTTCCCACCCCAATAGTTTGTGTCTAAAATGGGCCAAATTATATTCTGATGCTGCTATTGCGGTATAAATACTTGCATGCAAATCCACAAAGGAATCAAAATAAACACAGTTACTTAAATGATGCTTATTGTGTAAGAAAAACAGCAACAGATTGGGAGGAATAACAGGAACATTTCAATTTTTCCACCATCGCCATACCTTCAAAAATACCCCAATGACAGCCAGACCATTTTCGTCCATTAGAGCTTCTTCGAAACTTCCAAATTTGCAGCAATTCCAGTGAACTAAATGCAGCTGGAAGAAACAAGGAGAAGCATAATGCTCTGGACGGCTGTCCACGGGCCGCTCCAGAGAGCCACAATTGCAAAGCTCTGAAACCGCTGGGTGTGTTAAGAACCGCATGGTTCCTGAGTGCAGAATGAGAAGCTGCTTCCCCAGAAATTAAAATATCTCTGCGGACCACCCCTGCAGGGCTGGGGGAAGACCCCATCGCCTCGTTCGCCTTGCAAGCATCCACGCTGATCTTCACCAGCTCTTCCTCTTACCTCAGCTGGGAACACCTTGCAGTCCACGGTGTGCTCGGAGCCCCATTCGTTGACGGCTCCCCAGTGAAAATGGAACTGCTTCAACCGGTAGTTGTTCTCCAAGGGACCCCCAGTTATGACTGCCGTGAAGAAAAGGCACGCATTCAGGGGGATGGGGGGGCGTAGAGGAGGGGTCTGCATCATTCACAATTGGGGCCTGGATTCTGCACTGCTTGTTTGCTTTGGTTTCAAACCATTAAAAGGCCATTTGGGACTCACATTATCATTTTGCACTGAAAAATAGTTGGAACAGATGCTGTACTTGCCTATTTTTGATAACTGGCGTGGGGACATGAAACAGGCTGACTGGGTGGCCACCTGTAAGGAATCAGGAAGGGGACTTTGATGGAGACGGGCAGGAACAGTGGCCTTAGGGAAAAGGGGCTGAAACGTGTTTGAATCCCAAGCAATGAAATAACATTGGGAAGAGTTCAGGCAGACACCTCCCCAATTCACTGGAGTATAAGGGGGGGGAGGGGAGGACGTCCAGCACAATTTGACTTGCAAAATTTTTGTATTAGAGCCCATCTCAGTAAAGTAGCCTTTACTGAGGAAATCAGTGAGGCTGAGACCACCCAATTCTAACTCAAAACAAACCCTGGCATTTTAGGAGAAAATTTACTTGACGTGTCACGGATCTCCTCTGCTTTGGTGAACAGGCGCCTCTGGACTGGCTCACAGAAGTAGCACAAGGACGCTCACGTCCCCAGGAACTGAAGATAGAGATTGATCCATGATTTTTACAGGGATATTTCTGGCCTCCTCACCACAAAAGCCCAGCAGCCAGATTTGCCTCTAGGAAAGCCAGGCCTGCTGCAATATCCAGTTCAGGGTGAGCAGGATCCCAGACGCCATGTTTTTAAGCACAGTCAATGCAGGGTGAGTACAGGTGGTCCTCAAGTTACGACCACGAGTGAGCCAAAAATTTATGTTGCTAAGTGAGAAATTTGTTAAGTGAGTTTTGCCCCATTGTACAACTTTTCGTGCCACATTTCTTAAGCAAATCACTTTCAGTTCTTCAATTAGGAACACGGTGGTTAAGTGACGCTGGATTCCCCACTGACTTTGTTTGTCAGACTGTCGCAAAAGGGGATCACGTGACTCCGGAGATAAATGGGAGTCAGTGGCCAAGCATCTGAAGGTAAATCGCATGGCCCTGGGGATGCTGCAACGGCCGTAAGTGTGAAAAATGGTCATAAGCCATTATTTTCAGTGCTGTTGTAACTTTGAACGGTCATTAAACGAACTGTTTTAAGCCAAGGACTAGCTGTATTCTGATCTCTTTGCCCAGGAAAAATCTCTACGCCGTTCTCAAGGGTGGCAATTGGACATTTGCTGCCAATTCCAGCAACAGTTTTATAACAGTCCCGGGAAATTAGCAGCTGACTGAGCTTCAATTGTGAAAAAGTGATGTTTTAAGCAAAAAGGCCAAATTAAGATTCTCTGACCTAACATTTTCTCCAATGAGAGAGCAAAGCTGGAAGGGTTACATTTTTACAGTCTTACAAATCCATTTTTGTCATTCCAACAGTAGTTGCCTCTGTCAGATAGTTAAAATCTTGGGGAACAGAAAAGAATATCCAAGTCCTGGAAAGTCTAATACAATTTCTCAGCAGCTTGGCAGAATCAAAACAGCTTTTTTTCTGTTTCCTGTTTTTTTCTCCCATTTTGAATGGAGGTTGACAGAAAGGGCTGGGTGCGACTGCCTTCTGGTGGAGACTGAAGGGTGCGCACTGCAAAATGCAGTTGTTTACCTTCAGATCTGAGCCAGAACCAGGAAAAAATCTTGAAATACAGACCTCAAGCAACATTCCTGATGGGTCAAATACCAGAAGTAGATTCTGAGCTTCTAATTAAGGTGGGGGAAGTCACGAGAGGGTGTGGGTTTTTGCTGGCTTAAGCCCTTGGCAATCTGCAAGGTTTCTATCGTTTGGGGATGAAACTTCTCATTAGCATTTTGGAAACTCTGCTATACATGAGCCACAATGTCGTTCTATTCTACACTTTCTACCAGTCACCAGATGGCAAGAATGCCAGCACCACCACTGTCACATACTTTGATATTTGTCCCTTTGCTTTGCTGCCATCCTGTGCCCACCGCCAATCTACTTTCATCCTGGCTACAAATATGGGGGCATCTCGCCCAGTGTCCTGTTTCTATGCCCACTGACTTACCTTCCTGCACTGTCTTTCCTTTTCAACTTTAGCTTTAATCCACTTTTCCTCTCCTCTAATTTTATTTTCCTCGAAGGGCAGAAGCGAGGAGAAAGAAAGAAAAAGAGAGAGAGAGACCCCCAAAACTAAAAGGAGACAGCACTAAAAGAAGAAAAAAAGAGTGAATATAATCATTTATGTTTCTGAAAAACAACAAAAAACACAAAAGAAAAAAAAAGAGTACGGTAAAGCAGAGTTTCTAAAACTTTGCAACTTTAAGAGGTGTGGACTACAACTCCCAGAATTCCCTAGCCAGCATGGAATTCTGGGTGTTGAAGTCTACTATCTTAAAGTTGCCAAGTTTGAGAAACACTGCAGTAAAGCATTCTTGGAAGTTTGCAAAGGAAGAAATTGGTTCAGCTTTTGTCCAGAACTTCAGATCTACATAATGCAATTCATGCTGGACTGAGGGAATGAGAGGGGTAGGGGCGGATTTAGAGATCCCCAAAAGCAGACAAGCAAAGTTATCCCATTTGGGGTTCAATTGCATTGGAAAGCTTTTCCAAGTCTATCATGCTGTGCCATTTCTCTTTGCAGGAATGAAGTGCAGCGTGGGAAGAGGTGCTGCTGAACTGTAACTCCCAATAGCCCCAGCCAGCATGAGGGATGCTGGGACTTGTAGTTCAGCAACATCAGGCCACTAAAAATCTGGGATGTGCCACACACTGTATTCAAAGACAAAACAATTAAGCTATCTGGAGCACAGAGCTGCTAAAAACAGCAAGCCCCCAAACAGGCAAGGCTGCTGTAAGGGTTTGCAGACCGATGCTCTGTTTGCACCTTGTCAGTTCAACATTTTGCCTTCAAATCCAGAGCATTACCCAGCACTTACAATGTTGGTACACTCCTCAAAGCAGGATTTAATACTTGAGAGGCCTGACGCTGATTCACAGACTAGATAGGCTTACAATTGTGCTAAGCCATTAAGGGGTTCTTTTAATTTCTGCCTGATGTAGAACTGTTCCTATTTAATGGAAATAGCATAGCTGTAGAAGCACAGAAGGCATTGTTTAAGTCAGCTCATAAAGTTGACCTTTTTTCTTTCTTTAAAAGAGAAAGAAAAAGAAAGAGAAAGAAAGAAAAAGAAAGAAAGAGAAAGAAAGAGAAAGAAAAAAAGAAAGAAAGAAAGAAAGAAAAAGAAAGAAAGAAAGAAAGAAAGAAAGAAAGAAAGAAAGAAAGAAAGAAAGAAAGAAAGAAAGAAAGAAAGAAAGAAAGAAAGAAAGTTAATGAAAAGCTTAGCCAGGTACTGGTATCCTTGCAGGATAAAATATTTCCCCAGACCACGAGACCAGAACAGGCATTGTTAAAAAGGGAGGCCCTATCTTTTTAGATCCTTTCAGTTGCTTTATTCAGAAAGCTTATCTGTCAACTGAGTCAAGGTGATAACCAGCTTTTACCTTCCCTTAAAATAGGTTGCTGGCCCAAACACCTTTCAACAGAGAACACGTATTATGAAACCACGCAGATGGCATCTTGTACTTTGCAGAAGGCAAGGTAAAAACTGAACAAAGGGCATCAGAGGTTTTGGAAGAGTGCCCTAATGATAAATATTTTTTTAAACGTTGGCTAGGTTGCATCTGGAAGTGAATTTTAGCAGGCAAAACAAATCTGGGGAATCATACAGAGAAAGACCCATCTGTTTTATTACAATGTACCCTGCTGATTGGGGCCCAAGCAACTCTACCCCAAAATATATGATGGTGCAAAGTATACATCTACACACCCCTAAGCGTGACCATGTCTACTACACTTTTCAGAGTTATTTGGATTTTGAAATCTTTTGCTAACTTCCACAAATTGCTTTTCCAGTCACTGCTTTTATGTTCCGCCTCTGCACAGCACACCTTAACTTCAGTTGCTCTTACTTGATTTATCCACAGAGTCCTCAAACTCAACCAGGAAGGAGTATCCGTTGTTCCACATGTGGAGACAAGTGTCTGGATCATAACGTATCTCCAGCGGTTTCAGGTGAGGGTCATAAACGCTGTCTCTCCACTGGATATTAATCGGAGATTGGCGGCTGCCTCCTGGGATGGTGATTGGGCTCTGCCAGAGAGGGTGTACTGGGAGGAGAAGATATAGACCAGGGTTTAGCAACCTTGGCAATTTTAAGATGCGTGGACTTCATATCCCAGAATTCCCCAGCTAGCATGCAATAAGATAGATGGACTTCTACTCCCAGAATTCCCCAGCCAGCATACTTTTAAGATGGGTGGATTGCAACTCCCAGAATTCCCCAGCCAGCATGCTTTAAGATAAATGGACTTCTATGTTAATGTTTGTTAATGTTTGTTAATGTTTATTATATTTATATCCCGCCCTTCTCCTTGCGGACTCCCAGAGTTCCCCAGCTAGCATACTTTTAGGATGGGTGGAAACATGACTATTGAAGAAACGTTCAAAGTCTTAGCAGCTAGGAAGTGAAGAAGAGTTGCCTTAGCTAAAGCCTTCAAGTTCTCATTCTCCAAGAATAACAGCTCCGTAGGGTGAGGAGAAACTCAGCAGAATTTCCATTTAGTTTTCAAGTGGTATTGCATTTGAGACTCAGGGAGACAAGGTGAAATGCTCCACCGCTGCCCACACAATTTTTCCATGCTGCCTCCCTTGTTTTGCTAACCAGGGCACTGACTCACCAGCGCCTATCCCCAGCAGGGTAAAACTCTGTTATGGGCCATTCTCTTCCTTGACATCCCAATTATCTCTGGGTGATAAGTTTGATGAGTTTCTTTTTCTTGTTTTGAAATGAGTCAGTGCCCTGGTTAACAAACAATGGGGGCAGCACCGGGCATCCAGATCCGGTGAACCGGACAATCCTTCCCCATTAAAACATCTCCAGAGGCTGAATTGTGGTCTAGCCTCATGGCCAGCTGCCAGAGAAACACCCCATTCCGTTGGAAACAAGTCTGTGCAAATAGACGGAATCTGGGATACGGTGCAGGCAGGAGAATGAACACTGCCCGGAGATGGAGAAAGGCAGGAAGAGGTTTGCCTTGGGTTTTCAAAACACGGGGAGCCCCCCCCACTGCAGAAGTAAAGGGAAAATACCGGAGGCTGGAAAAAGTGTGGGGGGGGAGGTTCAAGGGGGGCAGGGTAAGAGGACCGAAGACCTGGTGGGGGAAAAGGTTTTCTGATGAACTGACCTTCTGCCTTGGGACAGACTGGGCGAGGGAGGGGGGGGCGCTGTCAAACTCCTGATCTTTTGGCAACATCAACTGACCCAAAGAAAAAAACGGAACCCATCATCACCCCTCCCACCCCTCATCCCTTCTGCCCTCTGGCGTTTCCAAACCGCTGGGAGGGGCTGCTATTAAAGAGGGTAAGGTGAAGGAGACGGAAACTTTGGGGTGCGTGGGAGAGCCTGCCGGGTGCCCCAAACTGGAGTTGCTTAGAGAGAAGGAAAGAAGGAAGGAAGGAAAAGAGAGGGAAGAAAAGGAGGGAGGGGAGGGGAGGAAGGGAAGAGAGAAGAAAAGGAAGAGAAGGGAAAGAGGGAGAGAGGAAGGACAGGAAAGGAAGGGAGGAAAGAAGGGAGGGAGGGAGGAAGGAAGGAAGGAAAAGAGAGGGAAGAAAAGGAGGGAGGGGAGGGGAGGAAGGGATGAGAGAAGAAAAAGAAGAGAAGGGAAAGAGGGAGAGAGGAAGGACAGGAAAGGAAGGGAGGAAAGAAGGGAGGGAGGGAGGAAGGAAGGAAGGAAAAGAGAGGGAAGAAAAGGAGGGAGGGGAGGGGAGGAAGGGATGAGAGAAGAAAAAGAAGAGAAGGGAAAGAGGGAGAGAGGAAAGACAGGAAAGGAAGGGAGGAAAGAAGGGAGGGAGGGAGGAAAGAAAGTAAAAGAGGTGGGGGGAGAAAAATCCCCCCCGGGGGGCCACTCACCGCCGTCCCGGAGGCGGTAGGAAGCGCAGGCGCCCAGGCTGCAGCGCCGCCTTCCGCTCTGGCCGGCCAAGGCTGCGGGCGCCCGGCGGAGCAGCGGCAGGAGCAGCCGGGCCATGGGGGCGACCGGCCGGTTCCGGGAGGCTCTGCGCCGGCTCGCTCCGCCCGCCTGGACCACCCCGAGCCCGGCGCGGAGCCTCTGGCGGCTGGGCGGGCAGCCTCCGCGGGCTCCTCCTCCTCCTCCTCCCGGCCCCAGGGAGGCTCCCCGGGCGGAGCCCGCAGCCCGGCGCTCTCGGGAGCCCCCTGCGCCCACCCAGCCCCTCCTCGCGGTGGGCAGGCAGGCAGCCCCCTCCCGCCACGCAGCCGGCTAGTCGGGGGGGGGGTCGGGCGGTGGTGGGACCCCTCCCCGGCTGGAAGGGGGCTTCCTCAAAGCCGAAGGGGGGGGCTTTAACCAATACCCGGGACTTTTAAAGGGGTGGGCGGCAGGGGCCAAGCGGGACCCCTCCCCGAAAGGCTACAAACCCAGTGAAGCCCGGGCGCGGCCCTGGAAACGGGGCCCTTCAGCCCGCGGGGCAAGGTCGGGAAAGCCGCTCTGGCTGAGCCAGCGGCGTTTCTCAACCGCTGGAGGGTGTGCGGGCTTCAACGGCGAAGGCCCGCCGGGGGATTCTGGGAGTTGAAATCCACAAGCCTTCAAGTGGCCAAGTTTGGAGACCCCCGCCCGAGACAAGGGGGCCATCTGTGGATTGGAAAAGCAAGTTTATTTATTTATTTTTTCCCCCCAAACGCTGATGCACAAGACTTCGCCTCCCGCGGTGCTTTCTCTGGCCGGGACTGTTCCCCACAAATCAGCTGCTTCGGCTGCTTATAAACTTCCCCAGGGAGCAGAGAACCAATTCCCGCAAGAGGCTAGGTTGGTTTGGGTCAGGGGTAGGCAACCTCGGCTCTTTTATGACTCATGGACTTCAACTCCCAGAATTCCTGAGCCAGCTATGCTGGCTCAGGAATTCTGGGAGTTGAAGTCCATGAGTCATAAAAGAGCCGAGGTTGCCTACCCCTGGTTTGGGTGAATTAGATACAATTCCTCCTTTTTGGGGGGGGGGGTCTTCTTGCTGCTCTCTTTCCTTGCCACTCTTTTTGCGACAACTGGGGGGGGCGGTTGGGCGATGATTCGCGGAGCCTTTAAAAACAGCCACCACCCAAGCCTGATTTTATTGAGATAAACGTTGAAACACGTCTGCCTCTTAAAAGCAGAACCTGCATCAGCATTTCTGACTCTTTCCTCTTAAATAAAGCATTTTACTTTGCCATTACCTGAAGGGCTGGCTTGCTTGAGTTTCAGGGAATTTTATATTCCAAGGGCATCTCCCTTGTGATTGTGAATAAGCTGAACGATACTGTGCATGGACAGGAAGTCTTGCCCGGGCTCTGCGCCCAGCTTGGACAATAAAGAGGGCAGTTTCCACCCTCATTTCATGTGCAAAAAGGCCACTTCTTAGCCCCCCCCCCACTTTACTGGACGCAGTTCAGATTGCCATAGGAACATAATGTCTTGTGCAGATAGAGCCAAACTGGAGCTTTTTTATTTTAATCTGGTACAATTTTCTCAGCCTTGGCAACTTAAAGATGTGTGGACTTCAACTCCCAGAAATCAGAAGCAAGCTGGCTGGGGAATTCTGGGAGTTGAAGTCCACACAACTTCAAGTGGTTGAGGAAATTACTCTAGTAAAATAACGCTTCTTTGTTTTGCTTCATGGATACCCTTGAAAAGTATAAAATTCACTTCTAAAAGGCAGTTTGTCCTTGGGGCTTTTAAAGGAACTCTGCATGCAGCACACAGCTGCAATCTGACACCAGCGGCACATATTTTATCCTTAGCAAATAAACGGTGCTTGCACAATAACGTCAACCTGTACACGACCAAACTACAATGACAAAGTAGAAGCCAGGTTATTATAGGAGGTCTTATCTGAACCAGACTCTCATGTAGTTTATTGTGTGAGCACATCCATCATGGTTTGCTAGCCATGGCTTACAGCTTAGTGTGATGGACAAGCTCAGCTGGTTCCCACTGCTAATCAGCTTCAGAGGCTTCAGGAAAACCCGAAGACAAGTAAATGCTTAGATTGGAAGGTGGAAATACAGGAGGAAAAAAGAGAAGAATTTAAGGCAGGTTTTTAAAATGCGAAGGCTTTGGAACACCCGATAAAGCTAGAGAGAATAGGTTATGGGCACAGCGAAGGTTAATTGAAACCACTCCCTACTGTCAAAAGGGCCTTTTCTCCTTGGCTGAGCTGGCAAAATCTCCATGGCAATTTGCCCCAAACAGAAGGCAAATAAGGCAACTCTAGATGGCTCTTGGTTTCTGCATCCTGTAACCACACAAACGTGTGCCTTTTCAGACTTTAGAGAGGGGCACACATCCACCCCACCCTGTTCCAGTCCTTTGGCACTGCTGGATCTGCCCGCTTTATAGAGAGGGTATCTGGGTGAGGTTGCTTCTCAGGTTTTAGCCTGTTATGAAAACTCTCTGTGGAGGTTTAAGCCTCGAGAATCTGAATGGAATGTATAATCTCCAAATAATGAATAAATGAGGAGGATTCCTACAGGAAGAAGTTTGTCTGCTTAAGTCAAGGGTTTCCAAACTTGGTAACTTTTAAGACTTGTGGACTTCAACTCCCAGAATTCCCTAGCCAGGATGATTCCATACTATCAGGAGATGATCTCTTGGAATTATGAAATTAAGTAGAATAGCCCATCTTTTTTGCTAATAACCTGGTTGAAATTGCAGTAGGGCAAGGAATCAAAGGATTCATTTATATTTTTAAATGACTCTTGGCATCCGTTTTAGGAATCTTTTGAGAAGGCCAAGAAAGGGGAGAAAAACATGTCCACAGTTACTTGCATGAGTCATACTGTTGTTCTAGATGAGAAAAACTGACTGAAAATTTCCTGTGGATTTGCATTCATGTTAAAAAAGTTTGGCAGTGATTGTGGTCCTGGTGGAAAAAAACCAGGGATAGTAAAATATGAAATGCTAGTATGCTTCACGCTCATGTACCTCTGGCTATATACAGCATTTTGAATACAGAAATGGGTTTATGAAACTTGGATCTCTTTGTACCAAGCCTGCTTAGCTTCATGATGGTTGTTTGAATAATCCAGAACTGGCTGTCACTGCAACAGGCTAAGCAAGAAGCCGAGAAACCACAGGATGTGACCATTTGCAGCTGGCTTTGGTTTTTCCGATCTTCCTGATCATCCTTTTTTGCATCAGATGAAGAACTGAGTTTTTCCGAAGTTTGTGTCCTTTTCTGTGACATTTTGAACACTCCTAACAGCCTCATTGAGGCCTCAAAGATAAATAGAAACTGGTCTTCTTGGCTCTTGATGGGACACAAAGATATCAGTTACTCAGAAAAAATGTCCTTAAAGAAGTTAACATCCGTTTTTTTTGCTAAGTAAGAAAACTACATCAAATTCACAAAGTTACTAGACGTTGAGCTTGGTGGAAAGGAAGCTTTTAAACAATAGCACTGGCTAAATGCAGTTTATGGGATTTTAAAAAAAATGTTCAGAACTGCTTTTACCTGAAAAATTATGTCTTATAAATTATATCTGAAAATTATGTTTTCTTGGAGGCTTTTAAGAAGAGACTGGACAGCCACCTGTCTGAAATGCTATAGGGCAGGGGTAGGCAACCTTGGCTCTTTTATGACTCGTGGACTTCAACTCCCAGAATTCCTCAGCCAGCACAGCTGGCTCAGGAATTCTAGGAGTTGAAGTCCACGAGTCATAAAAGAGCCAAGGTTGCCTACCCCTGCTATAGGGTCTCCTGCTTGAGCAGGGGGGGTTGGACTAGAAGACCTCCAAGGTCCCTTCCAACTCTATTATTCTATGTTATTCATGAAATCCTGTTTGTTCCAGTGATCCATAGCTGATCTACCAGTATTTATTTCGAAACCTGGACAAGTTGATCTTCCTCTGTTGAAAATGTTTGTTGATCTGACTGGAAATTCCGGTTTGTAAAGCTGAGGGGGCCCCTTGCAATTATTGTACAAAGTGGTTAATATGCTAAGAGGTCCAAAGGATTTTCCATTGAGTGGAAAAGCAAAACTTTTCAATGGGGTAGATCACTGATATGCCAACGTGACTACAGGTGTACCAAAGTAGCCAGAATAAATAAAAGACCACCGTTTTGCCCGAAGGCATGGTTGGTTATAGCACTGCTTAGCTGCTGTCTTTTAACTCTGTTCCCTGCGATGCTTGTTAAGTAATGCTGGTTTGTAGCAGGAAAGTATATATGGCTCCACTGAAAAGAGAAAAGGCTGAGTTTGGGGTAGATCCCATATGCTTTTGCCCAGGTTTAGAGACAAATAATATTTTCAATCACCCCTTGATATTTTGTCACCACCTGAGCTGAGATTTTTCACCTGGTTTAGAATGTGCAAAATATTGGCTGGCTTAAATCCATCCACCAAACTGGAAAGCAGAATATTTTAATCTAGTGCAACAGGCAAAAAGGGAATTTTTTTAAACCATTTGTTTCTTTCTTCCCCTCCCCCAGAAATATTCTCCAATTGCTTTCAAAAATGATTGGTTACAGTAAACGTTGGTCACAATATAAAACGTCTCATTATAGCAAAAAGAAACAAGCAAATAAAAACAATTGCTTTTGCCCTGATTTCATAAACGTCCTTTCTCCTACCAGAAACATATATCTGTTGATACCATTCACACAAACGCCAATGATTTAAATTACAATCTTCCTGAAAAGGGTAAGAAAACTGGATACTTACAGGAAGCATACCTGTTTTTATGGGTGCAGCTGATCAAACTGCAGGATCTTCGGGGTGTCAGATACTGTCCCCAGGCAGTTTTCAACTTTTTGCTCAAATGGGTCAAGTTCCTTATTTTTAGACTGGTAAGAAATACATTCATTTTTTTAAAGAAAATAAAAAGTGCTTTTCCCGTTCAAATCGACAGATACAGTGGCAATGCCCTGTTAGGGGCAAAGAGATTGCCAAAATAAAAAGGTTAAATTTCAACCTGTCCCTCTATTCTCTTTTGATTTTAGGTTCTGGTGCAGGATGACACCCCTTATGCTCTGTGCTGTTTTTT